CATATCACTAACACAAAGAAAGTCCCTATGCGCTTAGAAAAAAAGGGAAATAGAGATAAGGCGAAATATAAATGAACATGCATGTCTGATACATGAAAATAAATAATTACAAACAACATTAATGATACGCAATTCCTATATAGCTTACATGTGATAGATTGTACATTCAAGAAATATAAATAAAAAATGTAATGAAAATTAAATTAAATAATTAAACATGTCCATGATAATATAACCGACGAAGCAACTAAACAGCTGGAACGAAATTAACAATTTACAAAAAGATAAGTCTTCAACAGAGTCTTAAAGTGGGACTGCATTACTTGTAGCTACTTGCGCCCTCTATATAGCAAACAATGCCCAATCGGTGACCGCTGGTCCCCCATGATCCCCCTTTTCCTATGTTAAATGAGAGCTTATTTAATGAGATAACCACCTGTCAGTGACCATGCTGGATGGTCTAATATCTCCTGGCCAAACTAGTGCGGACGGGCTTTAAATGACTCTGTTGTGCTTGCATTAATCGTAATATTCCACTTTCGTTACTTAAAGAGAAGGTTGAGGTCTGAGGAGAGGTGAATAATAATTTGTGAGTGTTTCATTGTTATTACGCAAGTGTGGAAAAACATCAGATACAACATGTTCACTGAAAAGCATGCCTCTTCAAATGTCTTCATATTCTAAATATGACGAATGTAACAGCTTATTTTGTGTAGTTATACATCTTTCTGCGTACATTACTTGATGCTTTTACCAAGACTGGGCCAAATTTCTTATCATTTAGTTGATTCCAGAAACGTGCAGTACACACCAATACTTACATGCTATATGATCAACTTTTTCTGATCGACTCCACACCGTTTCTGTCACAATGCAATCGCATGACAAGAACTCAACTTTATCTTTAAAATATATACCAATCACCATAACATGCGTTGCTCGTGGTGTAAGTAGTTCTAAGTGGCTATAGTATATTCAAAATATGATCTTCAAATATTACTTTTACAAAGAGAAATTGCAATTTAAATACATTCAGTAAACGTAATTGAGGTTGATTTGTATACATTGTAGCTATACACTAATTATTTGTTTTACTGAGTTGGTTGGTACACGAGATACATGTACATTATAACATCTTTATATATCTTTTTGATGTCACGTGATAGCAGGTTGGATGCGAATCCATTGCAAAATGTTGTCCTTACATAATTATAATTGGAGCATACCGTGATTTATCATCTGTCATTTGGCGTAAACCTGTCCCTAAAGACCAACATATTTATGTATTTGGTTCAGGCAATACCACTTTAGATAAATTGAAACTCGGACTATATTCATGATAGCAGTAGGCCTACGCATCGGCCGACATGAACTGTCAAAAAGGAGGTCATGTTATGCTTCATGACGATATTGTAGTAATTATTGCATAATTTGACAATAATGTAACAGCGACTGAGTACAGGGTGTATGTGAAACAAGAGGAGGAGGAGGAGGATTATGATGGTGGCGATGGTTGTCGTCGTCGTGTAGATGGTGATGGTGATGATGATGGTGATAATGGTGAAAGTGTTGATGATTTATGGTGATGATAGTGATGATGATGGCGATGATGGTGATTATGATGTTGATGATGGTAGTGATAATGATGATGATGTTGATGATGGTGGTGATGATGATGAGGAGGATGTTGATAACGGTGGTCGTGATGATTGTTGTAATGGTGGTGGTAATATTGATGATGGTGACGATGTTGCTGATGGTAATGTTGACGATGATAATGATGATGGCTGTGGTTGTGGTGGCAGTGATAGTAATGGTGATGATAATAATGATGCTGCTGGTTGTGATAGCGGTGATGGAGGTAGTGTTAGTGGTGGTGGTGGTGGGATGATGATGTTGATGGTGATGAAGATAAAAAAGTACATTGATGATTATGGTGGTCATGAAGAAAATATGACTGATGTCGATGGTGATGAATAAAGTGCTGATGTTGTTATGAAAATTAGTTATAACTTTATAATTTTAAACAATAGTTCATTGAAAGTTTACTTTGTGAAGTAGGTGTTAAGATATTTAAAAAGTATTTCCTGAAAAAAATTCAGTCGCTGAGCCTTTTTGAATTCATGTCATTTTACCAACTAAACAATAACGTTCACATTGTCCTTTTTAAGGATTACACTAAATAACTCATTCATGATCGTATCATTCGTTGTATGTTATGAAGTGAAGCGCATTTAAAACATCGCCAATAATGTTAATGTTAACAAAAACGAAATCTGCAGACTTTAAGCTTAAAATATAATCATCAGGTTCTTTTTGCCCTTTTAAACTGTGTATTATTAATCGATTCATAGCCTCATAGACAACAAAGTCCAACTTGATAAACAAATATAACAAGTTGGATAAAATCCTACGACTTAATTACTGCCATTTGAAAATGAACATCTTATAAGCTACGCAGGCGGGAAGATTACATGTATTTCGAACTTTTCACACGTTATGACGTAAGTCATCCTATAGCTGTTTGTCATTTAAGTTTGAGGTAACAAAAAAAAATCAATGTAGTTGGAAGAACGCCAACAAGACATTGCATGCTACGCAGGATGAAGAGAAGTGATGAAACCATTAAGACGGTTGCTGCAACTTTTGGAAAAAGTTACAGGTTTATCAACGTCATAAATATTGCCCCCCCCCCCCCCAGCTTGATTGCAGAGACTTTCGAGAAATCACCTTGGGGCAATGTCACTAGCCTCGTCCATTAAACTTTTGAAATAGGTGAATATTTCAATGACGTATTAAGTAATACGAGCATGCTTTCTGTGGAATAAAGGGTATTGTAATCACTCTTGAGTTGATTTTTCGAAAGTCTGTGCGATTGTGTTCAGTCAATAGATATAAACTCAAATTCAATTGAAAAATTTGTTAAATGACAAGGGCGGTGATATTAATGTTTTGCAGGGAATCACAACTTTCAAATTGTGTATACACATCTCAAAATTACACAACATAGTGAGTAAGCACTTACTTTCCGAAGCTCTTTGGAAGCGCATAGAGACTAAGTATTATGCGCTATACAAGTCCGGACTATTATTATTATTATTATTATTATTATTACTTCCAATGAGCCCTCCCACGGTCCCACCCCTCCCCCTCTTTTAATTTGACAGCATTTAACAGGCGTGCGCGGTCTAAACGACCTTTGTTAATATTCATCGATTTCATCGGAGAAGTAGGTGAATGCTGTTGCATGCATATCGGAATCGAATTGGCGCGTAAATGGAATTAAAAAATGGTTGGAAGTACGATGGTGGTCAGTTGCTAGGTGATATCGTCTGTTCGTTTTTCTCATCACAAAGGTGTAAAGTAATGAATTAGTAAAAGCAAACTGCTCATACCTTTTGGATTCCCAGATAATTTAAATCGGGCATACCAATCATAGGATGGTCTGCATGTATTGTTTTCGTTTATTGGTTTGGTTAGTTGGTTTTAGCGGGGGTTGTTATGGTTTTGGGTGTTTTTTTGCATTTGTTTTGCATTTTATTGTTGTTGTGCTTTTGATTGGTTTTGTTTTATTCTGTCTGTTGCGGATAACCTTAAAACACTCACACATTCCGCCTGTCTCGACATTCCGGTTCACTTTACTGATTCACAAGGCACATTTTTCTAACATATTTTTTATGTTGATATGATTATGGTTTCAAAAAATATTGTATTCAAATAGGAAACGTGGCCGTCGATTGGACAGTTAAAGAGTAGGATCTATCCATTAAGGTACAGAGAGTGGGCTTCACCCATCCGCTCCTAGGCACGCCACTTACCCGATTCATATTACACCATGCACCCTCCCCCTCCTATACCCCTCCCTTAGCTGCCAGATCTGATTTTAGCATTAAATGCCTCTTGAAACAAAAATGGGAATTTTTCTTTTTCAAGAAGTTTTTGTTTTTGGTTTAATCAATCTAAAATAACGTAAAACGTGTATCTTGGGTATGAAGTAAGACTGTTCAATTACAAACAATGGCATGGTACAAATAAAATACAACTTTGACAAATTATTACTAAGTTTTCTCCACAGCTGTGCATTTAATGACCATAAATATCAATAGTTTCACCAAACACTTCCCTCATACAAACCTGACCATATTTTGTATTAATATTACTACATTTTCCAATCTTGACAACTCAAATTCAGCAAGTGTACATAGGCAGCTCATATAAACCCATACATAATGTCTGTTTCCGAGGGGGGGGGGGGGGGGGGAGGTCAGAATTGAAATGCTGTACACAAGCATGACCACAGGTTTCAACAACAAAAAGTGTTATCCAATGGTCAAAATCACACCCTTTTCTATTTGTTCGCATTTTTCCTCAAAAAAACTGACCCCTAAAAAAGTTTACCCCCTCGAAGTCTGATTCACTGAAATGTGTCATTCTAACACTTGGCACACAGTAAGGGTAACAAGCTCAATGTCCGTAAGTTTCTCTGCTCATTTATCAACTATAATGCATTTTCAATCAAAACCATTTAGTGAATACAATGCCCTCATAAAAAATATATCTCACAATTATAAATAGACCGTTTTCATAATGTAATCAAATTTAATGCACAAATCTTTGCCTCCGTACAAATTATTTCATTTACCTAATACAAATAATTGTGTTTCAATAGTCAGAATGCAAAATACATATATCATTTGTTGTTAGGTATGGCAAGCCATAACGTTTGTCCTACCTGGCAACAACTAATGTACATGTAAACAGTTCACATTTTGACTAATGAAATACAATTATTTGTAGCAGATGAATTAAATAATTCGTATTGAGGCACTTCATAAAGTTGCATGCATTGAATTTGGTTACATTACGAAAATGGTCTATTGTTTGCATCATTAATTATTGAAATTAGTATGTGTACAATTGTGTGTAATCATTTTCTTCTTGATACATACATGTATTTCATTGACACAGTCACATTTAACATGATGTATTGCCATTCTTTTTCACAATATTCCTCTTTGTGACTACAAACTAACACCCCTCTTCATCTTCATTCAATATTACTTTTCCCTCATCTCATTTTCATCATCATCTTCAATACTACCACTGTTATCCATACACCATGTAGGGGTGTGTAAATATTAATACTGTTTTTTAATCAATCACAGGTAATGATTTTACAAAGAGTTAACAACAAAAAGAACTAAATTCTGCACTAATTGTTTTTTTCTGACAGCAAGATAAAAGTTTTTTACCCTTACTAAATCCTAAATATGAAATGAACTTGGACAATGCCTGCAATGAAAAATAGATTAGTACTGATTTCTAACTGAATACAAAAACATAAACATGTAAAACATCTTTTTATCTTCAAATATGGAATGTGAAAGACTCAATTTGATACACAAGTTTTGAAGTGCTTATTATATTATCATTTCTTCAATACTAACATACTATTTCTGACTGCTAAGTGAATAAAATGAAATCATTAAAAACAATTATTTCTTTCAAAAAGGTCTTGTGATCATTCCACAGATAGGCCTTATTCTTGAAAGCAACTAACTTTAGGCCCGGTTTAAATGTCTAAATGTTTACACTTAGGTTAAGTCCATCAATTTAAAGAGTGCATTTTTTCAATCTATTCCTCCTGTATAAATCAAGATAACTCTGTAACTAAACGAAAAATACATAACATTGCCTCTGAGAAATCAATATCTCTTTCTCCATTTCATGATGAAATTTATTTTGTTTCTTCATTTCGTTACCATAATTACAGTTGTTTAATCTAAATGGAACTTTTGTATTGATATTAAGATTCTATTAACGTATGGCCTAAGATTAGCAGGGTTAACTTTGGCCGCTTTCAAGAAAACAGCCATTATGTTTAACACAAATCTATTCTATATGTACGAAGCCTAAATGTGAAATGAAAATATTGTACGAAATAAATATCAAATTAATAGCACCTTCCAAACCAATGAATATCAAATACATGTAGATCTATACATTGAGACATATTTCCACTTGAAAAAAGAAGCATAATACAAGGACCTATGACCTATGACATCCAATGGTCATAGTTAACAATTACCACTGGTGGGTAACCTTAGCATCCTGTACCTAGGGGGAAAAAATCCTTCAATAAGAATCAATATATAATGTATCTTTTACAAGGAAGAAATGATAATATTGATGAGTCCAAAGAAAAGCTTGAAAAGAAAGACAAGGTGTCATAATTGAACGCATGGATACATAGTAGAAATGTTGCACATGATACAAACCAAATATTACTGCACAACTGAAACTTCCATCATATGTATAATACATAGATGTATATAAGCCTACTCCATATATGTATGTATACCCTTACTTTAGTACTCATATCTACGCACATATCATCATCATACTTCATGTTTTCCCTTTGCTCAGTAACAAATTTGTTGCGAAAACATATCTTACAAAATATATAAATAAGAACTTAAATATTAATATCATTACCAAACTAATTTTAAAAACTGTATGTTGAACATAATTCACATTCATACATGTAAAATGCAAACTGCCTTTAAGACAAATGTTTGGAGTATACAAAAAATAATAATACAGTTGAAAATGAAAAATTAATATCTTCAGTTTTGCATAATGTGCAAATAGCATCAAAAAGTGAAAAACATAACAATTTTAAAAAAGAAGCGATAAACCTTGTTTTGCAATTTTACAAAAGAAAAGACAGAAGAGACAGAGCAGGAGGAGACAAGAACAGGAGGTGAAAGCGAAGAAGCTTCCAAGCCTAAATATGAAAAACCCATAGAGGGGGCTATTTCACATTTCTACATGAGGAGATAACGTAAAAATAATAGAGATTTTGTTACCTTATCATCAAGCAAAATGAAGCCCAAACGAATGTCCAATTAGAAGCCTTAATATTTAGATTTCCCTTTTCTTTACATATGTTTATGCAATATACGGTATGAATGTATTTCATATCTTTCTATGATTGGCTAGACATAATACATAAGCATATAAGCATACAATAGAAAAGTTGATTTGTTAATATAAAATGTTGTATATAATTTCAATATATGTATTCATAAACCATTTAAACCTAATTCTGACGACTGAGTAGTGAATAATCATCATTCATCCTCTAATAATGCCTGCAGATCCCTTAGTAATTCATATAGTCTATCATCTTCTCCAGTCTTTGACTCTCCTACAAAACTGTCTTTCTTCCTCAGACTCAGACTATTTTCTTTATTCCTTTTCAGATATTTGCTCAGACTACTTCCCAATAAATCATCATCCATTTTCTTCTGGAATTGAATAGCTTCTTCCACTTTCTTTTCTTCTGTTTCTTCCTCTTCTTCCATTTTTTTCTCAATCGTATTATACACCTCTGTATCCCTTAGCAATGCATCCTCTGTCTTCTTCTGGTATTGGAGAGGTTCGTCTTGAGACTTCTCCACGTCCCTGTCCTGGTAACGGAGTGCCTCTTCTCTCTCAAGGGAATCTGACCTTGCATTCTTCTCGTCGGTGACCATCTCCTCTACATACTTCACCATGAGACGCAACGTACTCACGTCCAGAGAACGAAGCAGGCGAAGGATAGCAGTATTGGTCATGTCATCGCTTCGTCCTTCAAAGGCCACATCATCCAGTCCTTCTCTCTTGGCTTCCGTCTCTTCTATTTCCAAGTTAAACCCTCTCGCTTCACCAACGACATCCATCTCCTGTGCTTTCACCTCTTCCTTCATCCCTACCTCCTCCTCCTCTCTACCTTCAATCATCATGTTCTCCATCACGTTGTCCAGATCAAAATCTCGGCCCAGCATCATCAGGGACTTATCGTCCAGAGAGTTCAGGTACCTCAGGATCGGGTCACCCTCGTCCAGTCTCCTTGCGAACATCGCCAGCTTGATGAGACCCTGTTTGCTGAGGAGGCTCCCATCAAAGTACTCGGTACCTATCCCTCCTGTGATCTTGTTGATGTTGTGAGCACGGTTAGGGGGCAGAGGGACACCGTTCGCAATGTCATGGAGGTCTAGATTGATCTCTTCGCTTTCCAGTTGCTCCTGGTTGTAAATCTTCCTTATGGTGTTCTGATCACTCTTACCTGATGGCATTATAGAAAACAAAAGCAAGTTAGTTAAAGGGATTGGTATCTTTGCCTCAGATTCTGAAACAAAATCCTAGATTTTCATGCTGCAATCATAATTATAAACCTTTAGGTCAGTCAGGAACCCCATGACTTTTACAAGCCAATCGCCTGTCTGATTATCAAGATATTTATGACCGGTCACTCAAAGATTTTTACTTTTTTGAGGCACTTCATGATTGTTTTGAAGCGCAATTTGTTTAGGGCTTCAATATTACACCATATCACAGACACTGATAACATGTAGAGCCATTCATCTCAGATTTAACATTGTTAAACGATGCCTTTAAACACACATGGTACAACATATGCTCTGGTGGCATCTGCTCTTACATCAATTTTATTCACTACCTGAATTCCTAACCTCAATCTTGGTCCCAACACTCAACCTATGACCATATCACTAAACCTAATCCAAAACATAATTGCAACACTGTCCAACAATAACTAGAAAGGCTCGTTCAGATATGACGTGGAAAAAAATGATAATGTAAAGTGTATATCCCATCACATATCTGTATCAAGGCACAAAGAGTTCAGTGAATACTACAAACATTTTCACAGAAAGTGTGAAATATTTAAATATACAACAGGTTCAAATAGGAAATAGTTTTCAAAGGTAACCAAATATGTGGTCCTTATGACAAGTGGTCCTACTATACAGGTGGTTGCAACAGCAGGTGTGTCTTGGTTTGACTGGAGGTGTCATGGTGTAGTGGTTCATCATTCACTTGACTCTCAATCCAAGGGCTGAGGGTTCAAATCCCATCCCAGAACTAATGTCTTTTGGCAAGGCATTAATCCACATCTGCCATTGTCCACCAAGGTGTAAATGGGATCCTGGCAATTGATGGGGTAATAATACTTGCAGGGCCCTCAGGAAGAACAGCGTTGATACCGATGAGAATTCCTTGGGTAAACAAAGTTATTATTATTATTATTGTTACAATAAATGACTTACCAGCATCATGAGGGTTGACTGCAGCGTTCTTGTCCTCATCTTCCTCTCCAACCTCCTCATCATTAACCTCGGCTTCATCTCCTCCAGCCTCGTTGACGTCGACATGCTGACGGGGTTCGCTCACACCGTATATGGTAAGTCCCACCATGGCCAGAGTAGCTTGTTGGACTTCAACACGAGGAACCAGTTCCAGTACTTCATCTTCAGGTTCGTCAGCATCATCTGGGGTTGTGTTGTAGCTAGATAGACAAATTATTGATTGGTAAATGTATCATTATTTACCATAAACAACAATAACAATTGGATTTATGTTTAGCTCTTTGTCTCAAGGGTGTACGGAGTCCGGTGTATACCTCTTACAACTTGCACCATGTTCATAGCATTGCACCATAAACCTGGCTCTTGTAAGCGCACACACACACTCATCAGTCTGCAAGAATCTTCAACTGTGAAGGAGGTAGACTTAACCCAAAGAAGACGAAGCTGTCCCTTGGTCTATCAACTAATTGAGAGGTATTGTAAGGTTTGCAGATGTTTTTTGAAGAAGTAAAGTGAAGAACTACTCCTCAGAAGTGCGAGGGGTTTGTTCCAAAGCCATAGGGAAAGAATGAAAGGGAGCGTATTCATGCAATTGCATTTTGGGAGGGTTTAATACATTTCCTTGTAAACAATGTGGTGACTTCTAAATAGTGTTGTAAACTGCCAATTGTCACGATTGCCATTGCCTCTGGGTCCATACTATCTAAAGGCTATGTATACCTCCATATTTACTTTATAAAGGAGACGTTCATCCTGATATTAAGTTGTTTTGATTGTTTTCTGCAATCATTTTCTCCTTGTGCCTTGCTTAAAATTTGGTTATAGTGAAGAAAAAAATAATAATGGGGAGATAAAACTGGAAGATATATTTAGGGGTGCTTGAGCTTAGCCAACCCTCCTCTAAACCTCCTCGTGGTCGAGTGGATACGTCGCCGGACTGTGGATCATAAGGTCCATGGATCAAGTCCTGCCACAGCACTAATGTCCTTTGGAATTTGCCACACTCAACCCAGGTGAGTTAAAGCAGTACCTGGCAGGAATTATTTTCTTGATGGCAGTATTTCCTTGATGGCGTAATGGCAGCCATGCTAAAGCCAGTGTAATAATTTCCAAAGCTCTTTGGAAGTGCATCAAGACGTTATAACGTGATATGCACTATACAAGAACAAATATTATCAATATCATTATTATAATATATACATACCTGAATTGTAGGATCCATTTTCCATTAGGGTCCTCTCCCCAGTTATGAACAGTCATAAAGGGCCAATCAGTAAGGCCCTCCCTTTTGCTATCATGTATCCTGGTATCTATGAGACGAGATGGGGTGCCGAACGGAGAGTAGAGGATTAGGCTAACATCGCCTCGTCGGTAAGCCTGGAGGCTGATGTGTGCTTTGACGTGCTCCATGCTGTGGACATTGGGGCAGTTAACGGAGAGGGTGACATTCTGGGCCCAGCCTTGGCGGAGAGTTCTGTGGGGATGAAGAGAGGGCGGGGAGGGAGAAGAAGAGGAGGGGAGAATATATAAGAGAGAGTGAGAGAGACAGAGAGAGAGACAGAGAGGAAATGGGAGAGTGTTAAGATGAGGAAAAGGAGGAGAAAAGAGGGACATAGACAGAAAGTGAATTAGAGAAAGATGGAATAAAGTGGAAGTGTTAAACAGTATTAAAGAAAAGGTATGGACAGATTTTTTGAGAGGTATTCAATCTTAAAACTGATAAGAATATACTTGTCTATCAAACCCTCTGTGTACAAACAATCTTTTGAAGTATTAAGTGGAGTCCTAGCTAGAAGCACAGCTTTAAAGACCCAATGTACTATTTGTAGCTACTTGCTCTCTCTATATAGAACAATGCCTAATCAGTGACCATTGGTCCCCCATGATCCTCTTTTTTAAAGTTAATTGAGAGCTGAGTTGATGAGATAGCCACCTGTCAATGACCTGTCAGTGATCAACCTTGGTGGTCTAATCCCTCCTAGCCAAACTAGTACAAATGGGCTTTAAGAAAAATAAATGATCATCAAGTATTGTGAAAGAATAAATGTACATGCATTCCTGATTTACGATGTCATTGGTGTAAAACTTACCGGTCTGGGAAGATTGGATCCACCTCGCACGTTTGCTGTGGACCAACGAGATCCCAGGTCAGGGCCAGCTCCACCATCTTGCCTGCATCCAGTACCCCGAAACCAAAGTCATGATGAACATGAAGCCCGGCTCCGTTGATGCTCCAGCCGTGGTTGTAAGGCTGTGGAATCTTGCTGCCTTCTGTGATGAGATACTGCAAGTCTCGCCATGTCAACTGAGGGCTAGAAGAGAAAAAAATTAAAGATAAAGTTGAGTTCTGGTAAAAAAAGAAAATGAATTCTCACAGAATCAAACGAAACTTAAACTGTATGTTCAAGATTACAAATAAATGTCATTTGCCAAACGATTTTGGTAGAAAATGTATACTGGCTGGGCAATGAGCATAGAAAGATAAGGAAATCAAGGTAAGTAGGCCCGACATCATTTGTGTATAGTCCCATATACATCTTTCTGTGTACAGTGCTTGTTACTTTACCAAGACTGGGCCAAATTTATTATGATTTTGATGACTCCAGAACCTTGCAGTACACACCAATACTTACATGCTACATGATCAATTTTTTCTAAATCCATTCCACACATTTTTTTTCACAATGCAATTGCATGACCAGAACTCAACTTTATCTTTAATATCAAGTATGAGAGATTAAAAACTAAAAGACACAACATTAAGCTACAGGGTACTATATATGGAACGCAAGTGGAGGAGGTAAATGCAAAGGGAAAATCTGTAATAGATTGATGGCTGCTGGCTTGGTGTTTTAATAGTTTCAAAGGCATGGGTTCAAATCCCACCGCTGCCATAAGTTCTGCGTCCATCTTAAGCCTTATTTCCATAGTTTAAAGGTAAAGACCAGTTATGGTCATGCGATTGCATTGTGAAAGAAACGTTGTGGAATCGATCAGAAAAGGTTGATCATCTAGCATCTGTAAGGTTCTGGAATCATCAAAATGATAAGAAATTTGGCCCATTCTTCGTAAAGTTACAAGCACTATACACAGAAAGATGTATATGGGACTACCCTATATATCTCACAGACCATGAGAGAAACAAATTTACCAAATATATGAATTAGTAGGCGGTTTCCCGGCAAATTTTTTATCATTGTGTATTAGTCAAAACATATTCTTTCACATGATTGGTAATGAGAGCTTCCATTTCATTTTTTGAAATTGGGGCGTTTCCAATACTGGTCTTTACCTTTAATGAGATGCATGCATGATGGCAAAAACAATTAAATATTCATACACTTTGTTACAATTTAATCGTTTTAAATTTTGAAGGGACATCTTTTGTCAATTTATAACACATTCAATAAAAGACAGCATAGCTGGCCAACATGATATCTCAGATTCAAAGTTTCAAAAACTTGATTAATTGAACCATATTACAGGACCCAAAAGGGAGTTTCTCATTGAAAAGCTCCCTACAAATTATAAGAGATAAGTCATGGACAACCATTTAGTGACACTATGTTTGCTTTTTTATTTTTCTCATATTTTAAACCTGTACATTTAAAATGTAAAGGTAATGGGGCTTGGATTAAAGGTCTGTGCCAAACATTGTGGTGCATGATTGAATATAAAACTGACTAGAATTTGTCACATGTTGAACACTTCAAAACATTTCTGAAGTCCCTTTTATTTTGTTAGAGGACAATGGATTTTTAACAGGTCATTTTTTTAATGTGATTACGATATTTATCAAGAGGCAAAAAAAAAAGTGAAGTGTTGAGTTTACAACAACAAGCCTAACAATAGAGGGCCTGGTCCCTCTCGGATGTAATTGGATGGTTAATTGAGACACAGTATGTTGACTGTGGGTTATACATACATTGAATAACAGGTTCCTCATCATGATTCTGTGTCTTATAGGGTGCGTTTAATCGACACTTTTTCACCCTAGAATCACGGTTTCTAAAGACGTTTAGTTTAAAACGCAATGCGTTCAAGCGATTTTTTCGTCGGTCGTAAAAATAAACGTGTTTGAAAACACAAACATGAAACGCTGAAAAAGATGCGTTTTGTATCATGATTCAAAAGAATCACGGTCGCTAAAATTCGATTGAACGGACGGAGTTCTCAATCATGATTGCATGACGAAGCCTCTTCCGGTTTGGGAAAAACCGCGCGCCCGCTTTGCATGCAATTTGCATTCACTATACCATCGTGGCCTGTTCCGTTATGTTATTCCTTGTTTTTCCTTCTATCATTTTCTCTTTCTGTCTTTCCTTATGTTATTCTTTGTTTCTTCCTTCTATTCTTATGTTATTTTTTTTTCTTTCTATCACCTTTTCTTATGTTATTCTTTGTTTTTATCATTCTATCATTTGCTCTTTCTGTCTTTCCTTATGTTATTCTTTGTTTCTTCCTTCTATACTTATGTTATTCTTTTTTTTTTTTCCTTCTATCACCTTTTCTTATGTTATTCTTTGTTTTTATCATTCTATCATTTGCTCTTTCTGTCTTTCCTTATGTTATTCTTTGTTTCTTCCTTCTATACTTATGTTATTCTTTGTTTTTTCCTTCTATCACCTATTCTTATGTAAATCTTTGTTTTAAGCATTCTATCAATTTCTCTTTCTGTCTTTCCTTATGTTATTCTTTGTTTCTTCCTTCTATCATCTTCTCTTATGTTATTCGTTGTTTTTATCATTCTATCATTTGCTCTTTCTGTCTTTCCTTATGTTATTCTTTGTTTCTTCCTTCTATACTTATGTTATTCGTTGTTTTTTTCCTTCTATCACCTTTTCTTATGTAATTCTTTGTTTTAAGCATTCTATCAATTTCTCTTTCTGTCTTTCCTTATGTTATTCTTTGTTTCTTCCTTCTATCATCTTCTCTTATGTTATTCTTTATATTTATAATTCTATCACTTTCTCTCATGTTATTCTTTGTTTTAATCATTCTGTTACTTTCTCTTTCTATCTTTCCTTATGTTATTCTTTGATTCTTCCTTCTTTCACCTTCTCTTATGTTATTCTTTGTTTTAATCATTCTATCACTTTCTCTTTCTGTTCTTCCTTATGTCATTCTTTGTTCCTTCCTTTTTTCACATTCTCTTTCTGTCTTTCCTTATGTTATTCTTTGTTTTTTCCTTCTATTTTTATGTTATGCTTTGTTTTTTCCTTCTATCACCTTTTATGTAATTCTTTGTTTTAAGCATTCTATCACTCTCTCTTTCTGTCTTTCTGTCTTTCCTTATGTTATTCTTCGATTCTTCCTTCTTTCACCTTCTCTTATGTTATTCTTTGTTTTAATCATTCTATCGACTTTATCTTTCTGTCTTTCCTTATGTTATTCTTTGTTTCTTCCTTCTATCACCTTCTCATTCTTTGTCTTATTTTTGCGATCTATGCTCAAAACAGCAGTCGACAGTCGGCCGTAAACAATTCCAGAAAGCGCGCGCCGAAGTTCCTGGGCCATACTGCGCAGTGTGATGCGCAGTGGTTTGGCTCGCAATGAGCTAGAATCAGCGTTGATGAAAAATCGCTTGAACGCAAACCGCAGTGACCTTGCTTTTTGTAACGGCGTTTTGAATTGTGATTCATGTTTGTGATTCTAGCTTCGAAAATTCGATTGAACGCACCCATAGTCGCATCAAAGCATACAGCACTTTGTAACTGCCACAAAAAAAAAACACTATATCAAATACGTTAAGTTTTGGAGTGGATTGGTTTGGATTAGAATCTCAATGTTGTTCCCGAAGACTTACTTTGCTTGCAGCACTACAGCAAACAATCCAGAAGCAAGGGGTGCGGCACTGGATGTTCCTACAAAAGCATCGGTGCAGTTTCCATTCAGGTCTGTGGTGGTCTGGATGCAGAAAAAAAAGATATATCATGCATCACTTATTACCATCTTTTCTATCCAAAGCATGAAGAAGAAAAAAAGAGAAGGACAAATTCTGTAAATTTTTTATTTGTGTTAAACATTTTGTAAAAATTCTAATATTATTGGAAATAGGTAAGATCTAGAAAACGCCTCTAATGAGGTGTAGCACCTCAAGAGTTCCTGGGTAAGCTTTGGTTGATTCTTGCTTGCTGTTTGAGTCCTTCGGCAAGCCATTTCACCCCCATATGTTCCTCGATCTTGACACAAGTGTATTACCCCTTTGCCTATGAAAACCTGATGGTCCTTGTATGAATCCTATGGACCTTTCACAATGCATAAGTCAACAGGTTAAATGGGTATCGGACAATGCTGGCATAATATTTATGGCAGCTCCTTACAGAAGAGTGGTCTCAATGATGGTGATCGAGGCCACCATTTTGGTCAATAAGACTATATTATCATTAAATTGTCAATGCAGAGCTAGAGGGGCGTTAACTCTCTGTTAAAGTACAACAGAAGTGATAGTGAGCACTAATAAAAAAATATGTTTGTTTTTTCCTCAAGCTACTGCCCCTGAGAAAAAAAAAATAGGGATAAAATCTGGACAGAAAAAAAGAAGAAAAAAATTGGGGAAAAAACAACAACAACAAATCAGGGAAAAAAAGAAATAAATGGGAAACCGATTTAAATTGGGTAATTATCAGGCCTAGTACAAGAGTTTGAAAGCCTTCTGGCTCCAAACAGAGAATATCATGTCTGGATTCTAATTACCACAAGGTTCCACTTGAAGTCGCCACTCTTAATGTCAGCGATGCTAGAAGGACCTCCAGAGAGGGTTACAGCCATGATGGCTGGACAGGACTCTACGAAGTAACTTGGTCTTCCATGGTCGTTGATGGCGCTGATGGCGATCGTGTGGATGTCACCCACGTAGCCGTCTGCTCCGCAGTGGTCGTCGTCATGGCCACCATTGCCTGCCGCCCAGACAAAGATGGAGCCCTTTCCGTTACGACCCTAGAACAAAACAAAAAAGAGGGACTGGTTACCAGGTTTCTTTGCTATATGGTCTTGCAGCGTCGCAGATAGCAGTTAGGAAGAACAAAGGCAATTTGTTGACAGTTGTGGATATTATCTGGGATTCTATGTCATACCTATGATGATGTTGAACATAAAGGATGAACAGCCAAGGACAAATAAAACAGTCTGAACACGGTACTCATGGTGTTTGTTCTCATTTACTGAACTCCTAAAAAACAGTATGCAATAACATGTCATAACCACTATCTTCACCATTATCCCCATCAGCATCAGTAATCACCATCATTGACACCATCATCATCATCATCACCACCACTAGCACTGTCATCATCACCACCACCATCATAGTCACAATCATAACAATCATCCCCATCAACATCACTATTGCCACCATCATCATCATAATCATCACAACCACGATCATCATCATCATCATCATAACAATCACAACCATCATCATCATCATCATCATCATAACAATCACAACCATCAGCATCATCATCATCATCATAACAATTACAACCATCATCACCACCACCACCACTACCACCACCACTACCACCACCACCACCACCACCACCACCACCCCCACCATCACCACCAACAACAACCACCACCACCACCACCACCACCACCACCACCACCACCACCACCACCACCACCACCACCACCACCACCACCACCACCACCACCACCACCACCACCACCACCACCACCACCACCACCACCACCACCACCACCATCACCACCAACAACCACCACCACCACCACCACCGCCACCACCACCACCACCAACCACCACCATCACCACCACCACCACCACCACCACCACCACCACTATCTCTTATAGGGATAGCTGTACTCACTGTGATTGCTCCATGCTCAAAGGCCTCTTTAGTGAGTGTATGTGGCATCTCAAACCTGATCCCGTCGTCAACTGGACCCCAGCAGCAGCTGTAGATGTCAACGTGGCTGTGGTTGAACTGTAGGGCCTGGGCTGTAAGGCGATCGGTTGCTGGACCATCAAGAAGTCTTATACCTGACAGAGAATGAACAATCGTTACCATTGTTTACAGTTGGCAAGTGCGTTGATTTCTACATGAAGTAGATGTGTGGATGCTTGTCACTGGATAAGATATTGATACAATTCAAATTTAATTTAATCAAGTTTGAGTTTGAATTATACAATCTTTCACTTGGTCCATTGTTTGGTCTTATTTTCCCTTTTCTACCTTTTTCATTCACTTACATTTCATTGTCATCATCACTTTCAATGCCCAATCTCTCTCTCTCTTACTCTCTCTCTCTCTCTCTCTCTCTCTCTCTCTCTATTCATATGATATATCTATCTTCCCCTCTCTCTCTCTCTTTCTCTCTCACATAAGTCTTCTTAAACGATGAGAGAACATGTAGTTTTCACCCTGTCTTTATACATAAATCTTAAAAAGGTGGTTTATGAACTTCTATACTTTAGTCTGTTATTGAATTATGCATGACGAATCACACCCGCATGAACAAGTTTAAGTACAGGGGTATTTGTGTTTCAGAAGTCAAGACTAATCTAGTACAAACATTTTGTAAAACATGATGAAATTAGAGCCCAAGGTAAATTCAGATCACTGTATTCTCACCTCCGATGCTGGCCTCATAAGCCACACCCACCCCACAGATGCTGTTATTGGCTGCTGCTGCTACCTCCCCCGCACACCTTGTACCATGGCTGAAAGAAGAACATCCAATCATCAAAATATATCTTTGATTCAACAGGCTCGTACAAGTTTTTTCTTTAATGGAATGGGTTCCATGGTGCACCTTGGCAGTGACCTGTACTCCTATTCACTGCAAAAGTTATCAAACTAGCACAAAAAGGCCCTCATGTGTTGGGGGATCTCTTGTCAATATATATATTTATTTATTTAATTTTTTTTTGGGGGGGGGGGTGGGTGGGGGGAGGGCTTCACTCTAGACATTAAAACAATGCTTCATTGGACTATAATTTAAAAAATTAAAATAATGCTCGTCCAAGACTAGAAATGACTTGCTTCAATAGAAAGAATTTGCTTTTGTCACCATGTTGTGTTTTGTTTTGTTTTTATTATCTGCTCATGGTGCCTAGACTTTTTTTAAAACTTTTAAACATCAAGAGACATTTAGCAGATATATAGTTGTATCTTTGAATATTGGATATCAGAATATCAGTAAATTAATATTTCACAAATTTGATGAATGGTTGATGGGAAACACATTAATATAGTGAAAATATATCATATTAGTTAAAATAGCAGATCATTAATTTGCTTATAGAGTATCAAATTCAAATGTCTATACTATTTTTCATTCAAACTAGAAACTTTCCTCAAAAATTCATTCTGTAACGTTTGGTTTTGACCATATGCATACCATAAAAGTAGACCTACTATATCAAACATTAACATGTATGTAAGACTTACCGCACTGCTTTTGCTGGCTTGCTATAATCTGGGGTGGGACTGTGCTCGTTACTTATATTGTTGAAGTCATAGCTAGCATACATATCCTTAAGGATATATGAAAATATATAAGAAAATATAATTGTATATATATATTATGTATCTATATATTGCATGGAGCTCACATACATGTATATGCATGTACATCTCAGCAATAAGCTAATAAGACAAGGCAGATGAATAAAAATATTCAAGGAGGAAAAAAACAAATAAAAATTTTCCGGCTTGGTCAACCAATGGAGAAAAAAAAGGGACTGCCACAGTCGATTTTAGGTACACAGAGAAAGTAAATGTATTGTATACTCCAAACTATGCGGCAGTTCAGGGTATTGTTCCATGGAATATAAAGGTGGTATCTCACTGAGCGGCGAATGCTTGCGAACGTAGCAAATTTCTGGTTTCGCCAGCGTTTGTTAAAGGTTGCCAACGGTTCGTAAAAGGTTAGAAGAAAGTTTGCAAACAGTTTCCAACTTTTCATTGTCGCAAATAGTTTTTCTTGTGCAAATTTCTTTGTCCACAAACAGTTACAAGTGTTTGCAAAACGATGGTAAGCCTTTATTGTTAGACTGTGTCACTGATGTTCTTTTTGATTTGCCAATGCTAGCGACCATACGACCATATGGTTCCTATATAAAAACAACCCATTGAGTACCGAGAGTTAGCAAAATGTCCCAAACATTCACAAATCGTGGCAAAGGGTTGGCAAATAGTCGCCAACTGCCTTTTGCAAACACTGTCGCAAAAATGCGCTCAAATGTTGCTAATTGTCACTGAACATCGCTAAAAGTCGCTCGATGTGGAAGAGGCAAATCCAAAATTTGCAATGTTCCTATTAATGAATACGCCGTGCAGTGAGATACACCCTTCAAGAGTCAACCCCTTGCATGCAAGAACCAGGTAGTTCCTGTAATACGCCTATCAGAAATGATGGAATCTAGTAGTCATTGGGTTAAAAATATTATTCCATGTGGACAATGAACATGCAAACTTTAATAATTGTTCCACTTTCAAGCAAAGGTTATGCAGGTTCCTATTCATCAAATATTCCCTTAGTTTAATAATAATAATAATAATGTAACTTATATCGCGCCAAATCCACTCTGTGGAGTGCTCAAGGCGCGTGTAAACAGGAAAAACGATCAAGACTTGAAAAGGAATGTTTTGAGATGAGTTTTGAAAGAATCAGAAGATAAACATTTTTTGATGTCTTCAGGAAGGCCATTCCATAATTTAGGACTAGAGTGTGCAAATGATCTTTCCCCCCACGTTTTGGTAATTTTGGGGGTCACAAGAAAATTGGAAGTGGATGAGCGTAGAGGTCTTGCAGGAGTGTAGTTTTGGATTAGAGAGATAAGGTATTGAGGAGCAGAGCCGTGAACGCAATGAAAGGTTAAAATGTAGACACGGTATAGTCATGATATGGCAAGTTAACAGTGTGAAAGTAAAATCATAACTTTTGTGTTAAAATGAACGAACATGGTGATATCAAATGCAAGTCTGTATTGGTTGGGCAATCTGACAAAGATGGCAAGTGTACATTATGAACTGGTAGATAAGACACATAATACATATAATTTGTCAAATGTGACTGATCAATTTCACTTACAAAATTATCTTTCAGATCGGGATGATGCTCATCCATTCCTGTGAGTTAAAAAACAAACATTAAGAAATCTTCAGAAACATAGAGAATTATTTTCGAGGTAAAGGCCATCTATCTTTAATCATTTTCACAAGCTTGATATAAGATATCTTTTTCTTATGTGAAATAAAGAAGTCCTACAAATAAAATTCGAAAACATATACATGCACGGTTAGATAGAGTGAATGACATTGATAATCCATAACTCTGCATGCATACTGTTTAAAGAATGACAACCAAAAAGCTTACCCAAGGCTTGCCCAACATAGCAACAAGTAATGTATGCAGACTGGATTCCAAGTATTGTAGTGCATTCATTAATAACATGTTAATGGAACACCTTTCCATTGAGTTCCCAGGAAAGAAACATTCATACAATATTGATTTGTTAGTAAACTAGTCTATCAGATGTACACACATATTTCATGTTTTAGTATTGTCAAAAATTTAGAACATTATCAACATTTCAAGCATTACTTTGAAAACTGTAATTTGAAGAAACATCCTTGAAATTAGTCCAATTCAATTCAACAATGCACTCACTTCAGTCTGATAAAAGTTTTAAATATGTAAGTCATGCATTATTAAAAAGTGTCCATTTACACATGCATAATTTGTATACCATAATTCGCATCAAGTAAAACTATAATAGTAAACACAGAATACAATAAGCACCTCATATGAAAATAAAATATTAGTATTTTAACATGCAAATGGGCTGTAAAAGATTTTGAAATATTATGTCATGCATTTACTTGTACATGTAGGCGTGCAATTACTTAAATGTCACATGCTTTCTTAGCAGTCAGGTAAAACAAACGATCAAACCAAACCGATTACCTGGTACATGTACATGTACATGTAGTACATACAGTAAACAAATTAGTGATTCATACCCCTTGTCAATTTGATGTTTTTTCTGAAAGCTAGGTGGATTAGCTGGTTGAATAATATAAGATTCTCAAGAAACATAAATTGGGACAAATCAATTATTCACATCCTTAAAAAATAAAAAAAAATAGGTAAGGCTATGAATAATTAAGATGTTAACTGTTCATGTAATAATCTCACAAATACATGTACATTCATGATGATAACATGCATACAACTGCCTTGCCCCTCCCCTTCCCTACCCCTTCCTACTTCCCTACCCCTCCCCCTATTTCTTTCCTCCGTCCGTCCCTCCCTCCCTCTCTTTTCTCTATTTTTTCTCTATCTCGTCCTCTATATCTCTATGAAAATTATTACCAGTAATATCCTTTTTTCAAACTAACATTTTAAGATAATGAAATTGTTGGATTGAAAACATTATTTTTCTCTATCTATCTCTATCTCGTCCTTTATATCTCTATGAAAATTTACCAGTAATATCCTTTTTTTCAAACGAACATTTTAAGATAATGAAATTGTTGGATTGAAAAGAGATAAAACATAACTTCAAATACAAACAAGCAAATATCTGATCAAAGAAAAATCATGCATGCATATAAATCAAACAATATCACAGGTAACATTGAAAGCACTACAACATGCAGGTATCTATTTATACCATCATATCATGCAATAGGATTTCTTTCAAGCAAAACTGTTCTGGATAAAAATAGATGGGAACAGGGGAGAACAAAAACATTAAAAATGCTGAACAGGAAAAATTTAGAATGAAAGACTTACCACTCATCTTCCATGAATAATATTTAACAGGAAAAGAAATTAATATGTGTTAGATAAGATCTTCAATGTGGGTTTGTGGAAATATTTAGTAAAATAAATGAAAGCACTAACGGATTAGTTAACAATGATTGCCCCCACAGCGTATGCTAATGTATGTCTACATGTATATTACACTTGCCATGATACAAAAGAATCAATACAGTATTAATCAGAAGATTAATTTCCTGTTCACCAAGTATTTGTGGCAATTAAAATACAAAACTGGATAGCAGTGCACTGTGCATGACCCAACAATTCTTGTACAAACCAAGTTCTGTCTTAACTAGTTACATAAAACCTTTTATCACCTTCAAAAGGGTGCTTTAAATAGAATATGTAATGTACCGTATGTATTATACTAAGTAGATTTCTTTGGTATGGAAAATATGAGGCAGATGGATATCAGTTGTTATATGCCACAAAACAGAAAATTAAAAATTAAAAAAAAAGGGAAGTTGTCTGAAGATATAGTTTAGATTTTTAGCATTTCCATAAACTGTAATTTATTCTTTTTCCATTGATATATAAATCTACAAGTATATCATGCATACTTTTGCGCTGTATTAACCAGTAACTTACAAGACTACTACCTGTATCTTTAAAGTGAACAAATTAGTAGTTCCATACTGTATTAAGACTCTTTTCAAAATGAAAAATAACAATATTACTTCTGTAAAGAGGTTTTGCAAGTTTAAATACGTTCTCAATTATAAACATAGAAGCGAGTTGTGGGTAGACTACTCATAGCACCCATAGACGCTTGGATAAATTAGGACCCCCAAGGAACCCATGTCCAACTTGGGTTTCATGCTCTTCTTTATTTTCTTTGTACTGCTTATCTGTTGGCCCATAGAATAGGGGTGTACATATAGTATTATTTTTAGATGATTTTTGCTCTTTAATTATGTAAAAGTATGAATGAAACCTTTATCCCTATAATTCAAGCATCCCCCCCCCCCTCTTCAACAGAATATAGAAATGTCATGTGGTGACATGTGCCTTGTATATTACTTACCATCATCTACGATAGTGACTACAACCCCCTTTCCAGTGTATCCTAGCTTCCAAGCAGGCATGAGGTTCATGTCCATTCCTGGCGTAGCCCCTTTCTGACCATCATTGTACTGAAGGACGGGGGGGGGGGGGGGGAAGAACATTTATGATGTTGCAATGGTGTCAGTTTACAGAGTTTTAACATGAGGAGCATAGGGGTCAAGAGTAAAAGGGGGTGTTTCACAAAGATCCTAAGTTGAACTTATCTGTAAGTTGGACTTAACAATTATGGAAAGCTGTTAGCATCTATGAAACTATTTTGTAAAAAGTTATTTTTAAGAGGCGTAAAATGTTGATTCAAATCATCCATACTTTCTATAATCAAGGAGATTTCATGTTCTTGTTGTGGAATTCATGAAAAGTTTTAAATAGTTGAATTTTTGCTTTTGAATATATTTTATTTTAAGGCTACAAATGGCTCTTTATAATTTTTAAGTCCAACTTAGAGTCAAGTTCGACTTTAGATTTTTGCGAAATACCCCCCAGTTCATGTATCTACAATGTTGTTGGTTTGGAACAGTGGCTGAGATATATTGATTACCTACATGTATTAACTATTACTTAGTAGTATCTATAATCCAGTCCCAGCATACAAAGGTGATGCATACAGGTAGAACTATACGATTCAGATAATGAGCCGGTAAAACTGTACTATCTTGATTATTAATGCAACTATCATTTATTTATGAAAAATTAAACTTTTAATTCACCAAATATATCCAACAATATCATGATGGACAGTAGGCTTGCGGATGCACCATCCGCAAGCCTACTGTTTATCTACATCACCATGCAAGCTGATACTTACAAGCTGATACTTACAAGCAGCAATATTATGATGGTTTTGCATTCTGAATTCCACTTTACATACCACCCCATTTCTACATTCCCTGAAGGCATATACAACTCCTAGATAAGATATGATTCTACTGGCTTCTTCTTACCAGATACCACTGTTTATCCCAGAGCGGATCGTTGAATGGAATAGCCCAGTCATCTCCCGTTTCATCCGGAGGCACGACATCATCAGCACTCTTCTTGGAATGTAAAATTATTTTCTGCTGCTCTACCCATGAAACCTACACAGGGAGAAACAAACATAATTAGACTGTAATACAGTGAAAAATGTAGAATGCTCAAGGATGACAAGAAAGGTGTTTTTTTATAAGCAGTTGGTAATTACATGTACGGGGCTGTTTCATAAAACTTGTTACACCAATAACAAATATGCCAATGTCCCAGTCATTCAATAAAGTATTCTCTCACAAAAATATTTGCTTTTACAAAAACTCTTTGAATAGTATAACATTTCAAACAAATATCACTAAATGACAAAATATCTACTTAATTTGGTCTGCTTGGCAAACAATAAAAGTACATGTCTTATACATGTATATATGTATTGCCTTCAAGTTTAGACATGCTTGACGTACTAAGCATGGCAATTAAAAACTCTGGAACTGTAAAAAAAAAAACTATAAAAATGAGAAAAATGCACTTACCCTTGTGTCTTCTGCCAGTAATTTGTTATAATTATTTGCGCCTCTCCTAGATCTGGCACTCATCTTCTTCTTGGAGAATCCATATGTATCTCTCAAGGTTCCAATCTGAAAGCAAAGTAAAATATAGTGAAGAAAAAAGATAAAGAACAAGAATGGGGAGTTCTTTGGCTCTGAAAGCTCCAAAAGATGTTTGTGGAAATTCCAATAACAAGGGAAACGCTCTCGGCGGTCTTGCCTGCATAACGCGATTCAATATGATAAACCAGAACGTCAATGACGTAGCGCTCATCCGCATCTCACTACAACAAAAAATCGTAAATTTTATGTGGTACACTTTTGAACTGGTCAAAAAACAAAAAAAAATGGGATCTTTAAATTATTTTTGGAAGAAATTTGCATAAATTACCATAATTAATTAATGGAGAACAATTTCAAAATTCTGTGTAGAACTTTAGTGTACCAAAGTTAGCTTTACCAGATAAAGCAAACCAAATAAAAATTGGAAAGAAATGAAGGAGAAGAAGCATTTTTTGTGATTTCGAATAAATTTTCATAAATTAGCATAGATAATGAATTTCACGATTCTGTGTAAAAGTTTTAAATCCTTTTCCTAGCCCTATCATATGAAACAATCAGAATCAAAATTGGTTGAAAAATAACGAAGAAGAAACATTTTGAAAATCTTGATGTTGATGCCACAACAAAGTCTAAGTTTTTTTTTACCTTAAATGACCTTTGACCTTAACTTAGTGACCTGAAATTCTACTCACATGATTGGGGAGACTTGATAACCCTATAGTCTAAGTTTCATTGACAAAGAACTTATATTTTCAAAATTATATCAAAAATTCAAAAACTTAACCTAAGGTTAAGTTTTCGATGATGATGCTACAACATAGTCCAAGTCTGTTGACCTGAAATGACCTTTGACCTTGACTTTGTGATCTGAAATTCTACTCACATGATTGGGGATACTTGATTATCCTATAGTCCAAGTTTCATTGACTTAGAACTTTTACTTTAAAAATTATATCAAAAAATTAAAAAAAAACTTAACCTTAGGTTAAGTTTTTGATGTTGACGCCGTCGCCGCCGCCGCCGCCGTCGCCGTCGCCGTCACCGGAAAAGCGGCACCTACATGTATGTCTCGCTTTTTGCTACGCAGGCGAGACAAAAATGTGGTCGAAATGTATAAAGTTAACAACTAAATTATTCATACCTCTTTTAATTATATGTTTTTTGTTTTTGTTGCAACTCAAGAATGACGGGAGGACCGGTTTAATTTGGGCCTTTGCTAAATACTTTTAGATATAATATGTCACATTATCAATAACCATAAATCCAGACATATCCATTTTTCACCTACCGTACATGTTCTTAGAAAATTACAAAACTTGGTCAGGGTATGAATAATTTAGGTACTTGTAACTGTATACATGTACACTGTTCTCTACACAACGATGTACATGTATGAACATGATGGACAAAGAAAGCGGACAAAATATACAGTTCCTCATTCTACCCTTCAACAATTGCTGTGGAAGACAAAGGAACATCCCTACACTGCTATTATGTAAATATGTGTAGAAAAGGTGAATATGCATGTGACACCTGTTCTACACATTTTTACATTATAGCAGTGAAGGGATGCTCCTTTGTCTTCCACAGCAATTGTTGAGGGTAGAATGAGGAACTGTATATTTTGTCCGCTTTCTTTGTCCGTCATATTCATAGTGTAGGTTCCAATGAGGGTTTTATCCTCCTTTACTACATGATATCGCAGCAAGGATTTCTCAAATTTAAATAAGCAAACGTTAAAAGAGCTTGAGTGAACAAAAATGTACTTGTACTCTTGAGACTGCTGTGCTTGAAGGAAAACCAACCTAGAAGGTACCCTACCTAGAAGATACATGTACGTACTCAGTGTTCAAAGTATCTAGCAAGTGGGTATATCAGTGGGTACACGAATGTATGCTTATGTACTGTATGCTCAGAAAGAAATAGAGAGAAAGAAAAAGAAGAAAAAGCATTAAGCTCATGCAGACAAATTTGGAAATGTCAAGTAGAAAACTAAGCAAACAAACCAGAGAAAAACCAAGTAAATAACTCAGTCTGACCTTTCAGACAAAAAATACACATGGGTAGACTACATGGACTTAAATGTACTCAATATACCATACTTTTACTATCAGTCTTTGAACTCTTTTTTTTCCCCAGAACACCTAATTTGTAAACATCACTTCTGTTTTATACCTGAACATTTCCTAACATAATACCTTATATCTTAAATCATATCAAATGTACACAACTTTACTACTTTAATACTTAATATTTGTTACTAATGGGAAAAGCTTGCATGTTGCTTAGAAATGGAGAACAAAATTCTGGATGGCATTGAGAACAATTTGTTAAGAAAATCAACCTCCCTTACAATGGGAACAATAAGAATTGCGTTTATTCCTTTATATTTCATAAATAAACCTAATCATAGTATTTCACTTCAACAGTTGGTTCAAATCCACGAAATTATGCTTAACCTACATGTACCAATACAGTATATCCAATAGATCACTTTAACAATGTAAATTTACATGTACTGTACACCTATATGTTGTTGTTTGTTTGTTTGTTTTTTTTTTTTTGGGGGGGGGGGAGGAGTTTTGTTTTGTCTGTTTTTGATGTTGCTTTTCTAGTACATTATATACATGTACATTTATAGAGCTTTGCATTGCATAAGAACAAAAAGGCTATGCACTCTGAAATGTACATTTTACTATGCCACTACCTCTTGTTACTAAAAATGGGCCTTGATTTTTTTTACATACTTAAGATCTTTCCAAGAAATTCATACATGGTTGAGTGCAGCCTGTGCATTAAAGCTTCATGCTCTTTTATTAAAGATCCTGTCGGAAGTGAAAAAATGAAATAGATGAATTACGTATCAAGTTATCAACAGAAAGCGTATAAGCCATAGGTTACAAATACATTGTACCAATTACATGCTCTTTTAGAAGCTGTCCTGAAGAAGAGTAGTTATCGACTTAATGACAAATTGGAGAACAATGCACAATTATACAGACTTGTAAAAGCTACGGGTTCTGAGGATTGGAGCAAACCATCCATCCAAAAAACAAGACATATTTTTAAATGTTAATTTATTTTTTCTCTCCTCTTTTATAGTGAAAAGGGATAGTGAAAAGGGATTCCCAAAAGGTCAGAGAAGTTTAGATTGAAAAGACCATAGCAACCTGTTATACATGTACATGTAGGCCTACTTATTGTATCTACCAAATTAGGACCAGCCCTTTACCAAGGGCATGGTACATTCAATAACCTGGGTTTTACTTAAAGTTAAACCCTAGGCCTCAAATCATGTTCACACATGGAAAGCTTAGACGTCAGATCAACTTCCTTTTAAAAATCCAGTTTTTAACAAAAGCATAAGCCTATCATCAGGATTAAACTCAAGTAAAAAATGGACCCATATTTTCTGTTTGGCGTCCTCTATCATCGTCTTTCGAGTAGTGACGTTAAAGGTCAGTCCGCAGATGTATACATACCGTTTGGAGGCAGAATAACCTTACTGTATATACCTTACTACAGATCGCGTTAACGCCCTTCTGGTTCCAAACAGACCATGTTGTGTTTCTTACCTGACCGTCGAATGTGAAGCCATGGTCAGTAGCAACTTCTCGAGCCTTCCTTTCACCTCCAGCCACCTTGACCGCCCACTCGTTAACGTATAACCCTTCCTCGTCTCTGCTGGTCAAACAACTGACAGTTGCAACGCACAGGAACGTCAGGAAGATCAATTTGGCAGCCATTGCTGGAAATATCTGCACCTGTGTGGGTGAATAACATTGTTCCTTCATCTTTTCAAATGGAATGGTACATGTATGTATTAATAGAATTAGATTTATCATCCCAATTAATCCATTGCTTGACCGCAAGACAGGCCTAAGATTAAAGCCAGCATGTACTGTCATTTCATTTGTCAATGGCAGTAATGGCCTTCTCGCAGGCAGAAGATGAATCTCCATATTTCATTTTTAAGTAGGAAAAAGATTGATATTTACATGTGACACGAAAGTCAAAACAAGTTTTTCTCTTTTCTAAAACTCTATTCATCCAAAACTGTGCTGTCACATGCATATTAATTGTCTTTAAGTTTAAGTGACTTTTATAATAATAAAATACATGCATGTATTTCTCCTGTCTTCCTGACCCAAGAAATATAAGATCATTTTTAACAAACATAATAAAAGAGAACTTGTTGAATAGACATAACATTAAATTTCAACTTTAATATGTAATCTTGCAGACATTTACAAACCCTTCATCGACTCCTCGTCTATATCTATACATATAATTGGTGATAAAAAAACAGAGTTAATAAATCTGTCCAATCTAAATGTACATGTCCCTAATTTTCACTTTAAAAAATTTCAATAGTCCAATAGTTCAGTCCAAAGTAAAAATGTACTCAATAACACTGTAGGCCTATATGGCGCCGCACACAATGCCAATGCCTACCGATACCAATTGCTATGCATGCTAACATACACGGGAGTACCACTATAGTAGCGACTGCAAGGCCCATAGGACCAACGCGCAAACATTGGTTGCGAAAATTATCAACAAGCTACGAAACCTCTTCTAACTTCTACTAATACCACTCAATCAATATTTACCTTGATTTGATAATGGGTGTATACTATCTTGAGGCCATCCTTTAAGCAGTCATTTAACTAAATAATTCATCACCAATCACAAACCAATCGTGAAAATGGCTCTCCTTTCCTAGTTTTCTTCCACTTTGAGAGCGGAGCCCTGCGCGACCTGTTCCAAAATCACTGCTTGTTGCGGCGCCGCGGCCGTTCCACAAAAAGTGGTGTGTTAGTGCTGCAGTGCCCTTTGCGTGGGAGGGGCACACAATGAAAGATTCGTTATAAAGGTAAATGTACGCAGTGAACATGTTTTGTGAGCTGAGAATTACACGGAATAAGCTTTTGGAACACTTGGTTGGTTCAGATAATCTGGTTCAGATAAACCTTTCTTTCTCTCTCTCTCTCTCTCTCTTTTCCTCTCTCAGGGGCGTATCCAGCCGGCGGCAAGAGTTGGGGCCCAATTCGTGAGATATTTAGCGGCGAAGATCAGCCGACCGGCCGAATAAACGGGGAGGGGGAGGGGGGGGGGGGGGGGTATGGAGCTTGTTTTTATTTTTATTTTTTACTCAACACCCTCCTTCCCCCCCCCCCCACCCTTTGTACAAAAAATAATAATTATGGGAGGGAGTATTTTGTTTGGCCAGGGGAGGGTCCCCTGGATCCGCCCCTGCTCCCTCTCTCTCTCTCTCTCTCTCTCTCTCTCTCTTTCTGTCTCTCTCTCTCTCTCTCTCTCTCTCTCTCTCTCTCTCTCCCTTTCTCTTTCTATCTCTCTCTCTCTCTCACTCTCTCGCTCTAGTTCACTTTTTTTTCATTCCAAAAGGAACTAAATCCACTTTTGTAACTTCGGAGAAAAAAACGATTTGTTTAACAGATTTTGTACATGCGTCTAAGGAAAAGTGATATTAGAGGGTGCATTTTTCATAATTGCTCCCAAAATTTAGGTAAATACTTTTGTAGAAAGACGGGTACTTAAGTGAACAATGTTCTGATATCAATAACTAAATTTTCATCAAAATTGGATTTAGCTCCTTTTGGAATTAAACTCTTCATATCTAGTCTCCTCCAATTGATGTGAATCATTAACTCATGCTGCTACCAGCCGCTCATTTTGCATATCGGTAGTCTCTGAAAATGTGCAAATAACAAACAAAAAAACTCCACCATAACGATTTCCTTTTCCCAAGCATGTAGCTGGATATCTCATTTATTATGACTTTATTATGTTCAAGCAAAAACTATCACTTCTTTATAGTTACATACTGTATAACTCAATTCAATTCAATTCAGAACTTTATTTCAGACTCAGCTGCACAAGGCAGAGATCCATAAAACACATGTTACATAGATAGAATAGGGTAAAGAGGTGAGTATAAACATGATGAGTAATTGAGAATAATACAAGTAATAACAAATCTTACATAGAGTAAATCAAACTAAACTATACTACCAGTGGCGTAATGAGCAAAAACGTTGGGGGGGGGGGGGCTGACAAAAAAAATCCGCATCACCCCACTCTAACATGCAGGCCCCGCTGAACGTTTCACAAAGTGGGGTCTAGGGGCAAAGCCCGGCGGGAGGTCAATGGGCGGAGCCCCCGAAGCTCAAGGGGTATGGGCATATCAGTGGCGGATCCAGGAGTTTCTTAACGGGGGAGGGGGGGGGGGGCACAAAATAGCATGGGGTTAAATATATGTAAAACGATGAAGTGACAGAACGAGGCTTTGATTGACTGATTGATTGATTTTTATTCGACAAGCTTCCAACATACAACAATTTACAATAATAACAGATAAGAAATAAGTCAGCTTGACCAGGATAACCCATGAAAGCTCGAGAGCTTATTTCCAGTGGGGTCCCTTACAGACATGTATAAAATTAATAACTTAAAATAGTAATAATTATTTACAGACAGATAAGAAAAATAAAAGAATTACTTAATAAAGATAATAATAATAACAACATTAAACTGATGATAGAAATGATAATAAGTACGAGAAGAAAAGGAAGAAGGAGAAGAAGAAAAAGAGGCGAGGGAGCGGAGCGACCAGGCGGGGATGGGTCTGGGAAGGGGTTCTGGCCCCCTTCCCAGAGTAAGAAGCATTTGCACTTTTAGAACCAAATTAGACGCATTTTCAGGCACTTTCTGGAGTAATATGACGTAAAATTGCTTTCTCCTACCCCTTCCAAGAGTAGGGATCTTTTGCAATTTGAGAACCACATTTGGCACATTAATGTCCACCGGCACTTCCTGGAAAAACGAGGCCGTCTGATTGGTTAGAAGTTAGAGAAAAGTGATTTGTCAAGTCGTGAGACGTTGTATATGCTTTGATGCCGCACAATGCACAAAGACGGTGGTCCGGTACTTCATCAGTAGTACTTGCAAAAATTATCTCGAGTGTATAAACTGTGTCGTTATCAGGGGCGACGCTAGATCTTTTTCAGTGGGGGAGTGGGGAGGGTGTAGAGGCCACCGATTACCGACAAAACGAGCAACCAATTACCGACAAATATATTAATGCCAATGTCCAAATATCTACAAATTTAACCCTATAAACCCGGGGCCAGGAACTAAGTTATTTTTCAGTTTTCCCCCTCCCGCGCGGAGCGCGAAAACTTTGACACTTCATTAAATTATTTGAGAAAGAAGGCGATCCGTTGTACTGTTCTCGACTGTTAATTCTTGTTTTTCCCCTCCCGCGCAAAGCACGGAAGCTATGACGTTTCATTTAATTATTAGAGAAAGAAGACGATTCATTGTGTACCGACTCTTAATCCTCTTCTGGATCCAGTTCCCCTCCTCCCCCCCCCCTCCCTACTGCGCGAAGCGCGGAAGATCTGACGTTTTAATAAATTATTACTTTTAAACCTTGTCTGAATTCATTTTCGCCCATTCCGCGCGAAGCACGGAAGCTTTGACGATTCATTAAATTATTAGAGAAAGAAGACGATTCGTTGTATTGTGTTCTTGTCTGAATTCATTTTCCCCCTTCTCGCGCGAAGCGCGGAAGCTTTGACGTTTCAATAAATGATTACTCATAATCCTTGTCTGAATTCATTTTCGCACATCCAGCGCAAAGCGCGGATGCTTTGATACTTCATTAAATTATTTGAGAAAAAAGACGATCCGTTGTACCGTTCTCGACTCTTAATTCTTGTTTCGCTCCTCTCGCGCGAAGCGCGTAGGTCTTGACACTTCATCAAATTATTAGAGTAAGAAGACGATTCGTTGTATCGTTCTCGACTCCAAATCCTAGTCTGAATTCAGTTGCCCCCCCCCCCCTCCCGAAGCGCGGAAGCTTTGCCGTTTCATTAAAAGAAGACGATTTGTTGTACCGTTCTCTACTCTTAATCTTGTCTGAATTCAATTTCCCCACTGGGCCCCTTAACGGTACATGTGCAGTGTTACATGATGTAAGTATGGAACGCCCGGCAGTGCTTGTCACAGTTGCTTCTGGAATGGATTTTGTTTTTACTAGTGTTACTGTTAGTGGCCACGCCTCTTAGTGACTATAACAAAACATATGCTCTTCCTGGCTATTTGGGAATGTGTCAGTTTGCAACAGAAATGGAGAAACGCGCATTTTGTTGAAAATAATGTGATATCACGAACATTTATACATCACGGAATTGAAAATAAGTCATGGTTCAATTTTATTTGGGAGAGGGGGGGGGGGGGCTGGCGCCCCCAAGCCCCCTACCAGTACGCCAGTGTATACTACGTATATACAATCTAAACTGTAAGTGTAACATGTAACCTGTATAAAATTATGTAAGGCTGATAACAATTTACAATCTAACTCTAAGCTGTACCTATGTAAGATTAAAATAAGTACATGTATAACAATTCATTGAAGTTGTAACTTGTAACAGTATCTGCTCAACTAACCAGAACAATATACTAATAATAGATAACTATTATAACAAACAACAATGACTATACTGCCCCCACGAGAGGCTGGATACTGGATACCTTGGTAACACCAACATAATTTTATGATCAATTGCCATGTGTCAGCACTTAGCAGGCTATTCAGCCAAAATGTCCAGAGGTCCGATGTGTACCTAAGACAACTATACGATAAGGTCACTAATACCTTTAAAATACCATTCTCAGAGACATCCACTCTCAGGATGAACTTACACATGAGATTTCGTATTACATTCAAAATTCAACTCAGCAAACATTTGACTAGCACTTAAGTATTTAGGTACCCTAAGAAGCATTCTCATGAAGCCACCTTCACATCCGGAGAACACATATGAAATTTTCTAACAAGCATATACCTGAGCATATAATTTACGACACTGTCGAATAATGTCGACTAATGTTTGTCGGGCTGTACAAATGTTATTTCCCTTGGAATGTTATTTTCTCCCTAAAGGGGATTCCTCATTGTCTTTATCCTCATCATTATTATCATTGTTATTTTTGTCATCAGTATCATTATTATTATCATTAAAGGTAATTCGAAGTTTTGGTATGGGGTCATGAATTTGGTTCAAATGAACACTTTGGAAGCAAATGCAATTTTACAATATTCAATGATCGTACTTGTCGCGGTTGAAATTGAGTCTAAAGTGATGAAATTACAAATAATAAACTCTTTATGATGTAAAGCGCGGAAGTGAGCAAAAATTTTATTTTTATTTTTTGCCTCCAAAATTTGAAATTCGCACCGACAAATATTTCGCTCAGTGGAGGGGGGGGGGGGAGGGTTAAGGAGGATTTTTTTTTTTAAATCAGCACACCCCCCCCCCCCCCACCCCTTGAGCAAAAAAAAAAAAAATGATTCGAGTGCAATTACGGTTCCCCGTCATGTGCCCAATCGATAATTGTTTAGGTATTATTTCGTCATGCAACAAAAATGAGTAAGGGTCTTAGGGATGTAATTTGGTTTTAGGCTGGGTTAGGAGTAGAGGTTCAGGGTTAGGAGTAGAGGTTCAGGGTTAGGAGTAGAGGTTCAGGGTTAGGAGTAGAGGTTCAGGGTTAGGAGTAGAGGTTCAGGGTTAGGAGTAGAGGTCCAGGGTTAGGGTTAGAGATGATATCACTCCCGTTGCATATTTACCTCGGAACAAATGTCGCTGGAGCATATAGTCATACAACGGTGAGCATATGCAATGTTTTATGTCAGGAGCGGATCGGGGGGGGGGGGGGGAGGGGCACGGGGGAGGGGGGGTGGGGGGGGGGGCGCCCACCCCTGGCAAAAAAA